TGCTATAGGACACATGCGCTCACCAGAAAGACAGAGAGAGACAGAGAGATAGAAAGCGAGAAATCATCCCCCGGGGGGGATGGCCACGCCACAATCCTTTCTCCTCCATCCTCCTCTAGGTATTTTGGGCACACATGCACATGCGCCCGGAGTGAGTTTAAGCCACTGGGTCCGAGACTCGAACCGCGGTCAACTACATGGGAGTTCAGTGACACAGCCATCATGCCAGCTGCTGGTCCCACCAAATTTTGAGTAATGAAAAGTTGAATGAGGGCAATAGATCTCTGGCAAGATGCTAAGGAAAATATGGGTAAGTCAGAATGAAAAGGGGAAAGGATTAAATATACAGATATTTTAAAATGAAAAAAGTGGGCCAGCAGGTGGTATAGTGGTTACGGTACTGGACTTCCACATGGCTGAATCCACAGGGCTGAACGTAATTCGACTCTTGGACCTGATGGCTTGCTTTCTCACTTTTCCTCTCTCTCTCATGCATGTGCCCTCTAGCAAATTAGAAAATAATTTTAAAAAATTAGCAAAATTAAACAATTCTTTTTAAAATAATTCTTTTTTATTTAATTTTATTTATTCATTCATTTATTTTAATTTGACCAGAGAGAGAGAGAGAAAGTGAGAAAGCAAGTCACCAGGTCCAGGACTTGAACAGTGCTCAACCATGTAGGAGTGTCTAGCACCTTAACCACCACACCCCCTCTGGTCCCTAAATAAATATTTCTTTAAAAAATAAAATGAAAAAAGTTTTGACCTAAACTATGACTATAGACTTGAAGATCTAAGCAAGATCAATACATTTCTAGAAAGATATAAAGATCAAAACTAAAGAAAAAAATGGAAAACTAAAATAAAGCAATGAATAGAAAGTAAATTAAAAGGATAGCCTTAGAGGACTGGCCCTGTAGCACAGTGGTTGAGCTCTGTGCAATGGTAACCAGATATCACATGGCTGACCATAGTTTAAATCTTGGCTCTGGTAGCTTGAGAAGCATGTGGGGCATATGTGCATGCCCAAAACTGTGGCAGGATAGAGGAATGGGGAAAAAAGGATTGTGATTTGATCACATCCCATTGAGGGGGCTTTCACTTTCTTTCTCTCCCTCTCTCTCTCTCTCCTGTTTGGTGAGTGCCTGTGTTCTCTGACAAAACAAACAAACAAACAAACAAACAAAAAAACCTAAGGTTAAAAAATGAATAGCCTTCCAAAGGACCCATGTTCTGATAACATTACAGATGGATGAGTCCTTTCACATTTGAAGTAACATCACAAGCCTCTCTTACATGTATGGTTCTAGAATACAGAAAGGAACAAACCTTTCCAGATCATTTCATGAAGCTGGTGCATCCTTTTTTCCAGAGCCAGCTATAGATAAGAGAAAAAACTATGGGTTAATTTCATGTCTGTCACTGAATCTCACAGTGCATTACAAAAACAGTTCATTTTGATGAAATGAGACTTGCTCTAGGAGTGTAATGATAATTTCACATCAGAAAGTCAATCATGTCATTAACACATCAGCAGGCTCAGTTGCTGTGGTGCAGGCAGTAGCATGCTGCTCAGCAGTGCTGGAAGCCACGTGACCAACTGTGGCTTCAGATCCCCAGTTCACCTGAAACATATTGGGCTCATATGGGCTCACAGGCTCTCCCAGGATCCTGTCTGCCTGGAGGATGCGGGGAGGAGATCACAGTTTCTTGATGAGACCCTGTCAAGGAACCTCTCTCTCTCTCTTTCTCTTATTCTCTGTCTCTTACGCTCATGAAAGAAAGATACAAACTCTGAAATAAAAAGGATATCAGTGAACCAAAGAAAAAAAATTAAACTTAATTTCAACTGACTTCAACTCAATACTAAAACAGAATTTGATCAATTTGACCACATGAGAAATAAACATAATAAACTGATAATCTATAGCAAATAAATTTAAGAAGAAATTAGATGCATTCCTTCGTAAATTGTGAAAAAGATAGGATGTCCTTTGTTGTGGCAAATATTTGGCATTGTGTTGAGGTCCTAGACATCACTCTGAAGACAGAAGAGGATTGGCTGTGAAGACTGAGAGAGAGACCAGCTGCAGAGGGTATGGCTGACATGCTGGGTGAGGCTGCAGCTTCTAGAGGACCAGTGCTTGGGTCCAAATCCAAGTCTGCACCTCAGCTGTAACCCTGGACAATCTCCTTTACCTCTCCTTCTGTCTGATCCCCATCTGTGACACGAGGGAAATAATGGGGCCAACCTCCAAACAAAAACAAGGGAGCATGTGCAAAGCACTTAGAACAGTGTCTGGACCATACTAAGGAACTCAGTTGTTGCTATTTTTCATCATATTGGTTAATGTTTTCATCCAGCTCAGTGATTCTAAAATACAAAGTGCTCACAGAGCCCTTGCTGAAATGTTTCTTGTTCTCATACTTGACCCATAGCATGCACCCTCCTCTGGTCCACTGTGTCCCTGAGACTCACGCCTCTAGGATGATTCATGGGGGCTCCTGAGCCCAGGATACTGTTAGCCTGGTCTGCAGGATGATGGTGACAGCAATGACTCCCACCAAGCCCACTGCCAGGCCCAGGACACAGACCATGGTCTCCATCATCTCAGGCAGCTGGATTGGCTCCTGAGCCTCTGTGGACAGAGGGAAGATGGCGTTAGAAGACGCAGAGAACAGGGGCTGGCCTTGGGCATGGGGACTATTGGGTGTCAGAAACCATGAGATGGTGAGAATTAGGTAAAGCAACAATAAAGATGGAATAGGGAGAGCAGGTGCAGAGGGGATGTGGACCCTGGAAATAAAGGCAGTGTCAAGGTGAGCAGGGGGAGGCTCCATACCCCAGTGCTCCAGGAGTGGCCGGTCCAGGCCCCAGTGCTCCACCTTGCAATCGTAGACATCCTCGGCCGTGGGGAGGAAGGGCAGGTAGTGGAACTTATGGAACCGGAACTCGGTGCTGGGCAGGAAGATGGTCTCAGCGACACCCTCAGTGACTGGCTGTCCATTGCGCAGCCACGTGATATTGAGCACTGGTGGAAAGAACTTGTCCACGTGGCAGATGAGGATGTTGGGCTGGCCCAGCTCCACAGGCTCTTTGGGAAACACGGTCACCTCGGGGGGCTCTGAAAAGAGACGAGCTGGTGAGTCTATGGCCTTTGGCTGAATCTCAGAGGTTCCTGCACCCTGAGTCTTCTGTTCTCTAGATCAGGGACCACATCTGTCTCAGGCCAACCCTTCTGCTTCCCCAGGACTTCCAGGTAACGGTGACAGATTCTCTTGCTCCTGAGCTGCCCCCTCAGCTCAACCTTTCTCCTGAGTGAGAGCAAAATGCCTCCTCCTCTGCTGACCTACACCCCAGCTTTGTGGACCAAATATCGCCCACTCCGGGAAAGGACTGGCCATGAGCAGGCCTCTGGCTCTCACATTCTCTGTGGCAGAGGGGCCCCGCCATCCTTCTAGGCATGCTGTAAAGGAACAGGCAAGGGTGGGCAGTACCATGTATGGCCTGGGTGTGTCTGGACCATTGGATCATAGTGATCAAGTTCCCTCTCGTCATGACAATGTCAGCAATGCCTCTCTGAGCATCATAGTCAAAGGCATGAATGAACTCTGGGAGAGGCCAGACAGTCTCCTTCTTATCCAGGTCCACGTAGAACTGTTTGTCTTCGTCAAATTCAAACATGTATTCTGCAGAAGGTCTGTGTGTTTGGACAAACTCTGCGTATGTTGACACGTGGTCCGCTGCGTGAAGAGAAGGAAGGCTAAAGAGTGGGCGAATATGGAGAGAACTAGAGACCAGCAGTTGGCATAATGTTTTTGTCGCTGGACTCCCATATAGTTGACCGTGGTTGGAGTTCCAGACAAGATGGCTTAAACTCACACCAGGCATGTATGTGTGTGTGTGCCCAATATCCCGAGAGGAGAATGGAGGAGAAAGGATTGCAGTGTGGTCATCTCCCCAGGGTGGGGAGGGGGGATGATTTCTTACTTTCTGTCTCTCTGTTTCTCTCTGTCTTTCTGGCGAGTACATGCGCCCTATAGCAAAAATCTCTCAAAAAAAAAAAAACAACACAAAAAAAAAACATGTTGTAGGCCACCAGATGGCATGGAATTTAGGGTGGCTGGATCCCACATGGTCAACTCTGCATTTTGAGTCCCAAACCAGGTAGTTTGAGAAACAACAGGCCAAAATTCCAAGAAGAGAATCAAGGAGAAG